TTCCCTCTAATATTGAAGACAAAAATTTAAGGATAGCTTTTCCTCTGGTATGTTAGTGAAGATTTGTCTTGGAAACAGAGTTATTATGCACCCTGGAGAGAAAAGTCACTGTTGAAATATGAATAATAAGATAAAGTAGGTCTGTGCTATTCCCTCTGTCATCCCTGTGTGGCTTTCCTTTGGTTCTGATGACTTCTAGAATTAGTTGTGACATGTGTGGAGACAATTTCTGACCCAGAGAAAAACCATTATCATCTAATTTTATACTGCTCCCCTCCACAGTACCAATGTTATTCTTCCCCTTGAAAAATTGGGTGAAATGAGCATTTAGACAAGCAAATCTACCTGATAAATCATTTCATAGATGAGAGAGAAACCAAGTGTGAAATGGAAGTTAGATGTTTTCAAAACCACTTCATTTAAGGAGGGGGTCTATAATCAACACCCACTGCTCTTCATAATGAAAGGCATGATGGGTGGCGGTCATCCTGCCCAGCACTGTGTTCCATGTACGCTGGGGGCCCCAGAGACAGATGAGTGAAGCTTGGTGGGTTGGACTCCGTGCACCCCACATTGTAGGTGAGAAGAGAGGCGACCTGATGGGCACATTGACATGTACCTGCCAAGGGTCTAAGTTAAGACTGTTTACTATGTTCTTAAAAATCTATAGTAATTCACCCTTCTGTACATTTGACATTTGATTTATTGCCTGAGCATGGGGCTTCTAGATTTACATGTTTATAAGGTGAGAAAATCTAATACTGCCAGCTTTCATTTTTCAAGCCTCTGTAAAGAACATGTTTAAATGCATCTTATACTTCAAAACAATCACTCTGAGATGTTTTTGAAAGTAGATTTTTTTGAACCCTGAAAGGAAAGTATTTTTTATTTAAAAATACCTTTCAGTTCTGGAGACAAAACCCAGAGCCCCCTGTACTCCAAATAAACACCCTACTGCTGAGCTGCACCCCTCAAGTGCCCCTGGACAATAGAAGAGTGTTAATTCATCAAAATAATCTCCGGTGTGAATGCAGGTAGCCATCAAATGCTAGTATAACAGTTTACAAAAACCAAGAAGTACTTGAGAATAAAGTTACTTAAATCTACTTGCTTCGTGGACAGGCAGTTCTGATCAAAGGTGGGGTTCAGCTCTCACCATCAGCATGGGTAGCAATATAACTAACAACAGAAGGCATGACCCTATAAGAAGGCTGATATGGTTTGCCTGTCACGTGAACTATATTAGGAGGGTGGCAACATCAAGTCTACAAGCAGTCACGTGTGGTCCTGAATGCTCAGGTCCAAAGAGCAGTTTGATGGGAGACACAGAAGGAAGACATACTTTGGTTTCAGAATACTGGGAGAGTTACAGTACCATGGCCATAGGCAGCCATAATGGGGCCATGAAGGGAGAGGCAGGAAACTCTGATCCATTACTGCCCTTTATCTTATAGGTTTCCACGGGCTGGGGTGAGGGTAAGTTCTGCATGTGAGCCACAAGGCAGGGAGATGATGAGAACAGGAGAGAGAAATGGCTAGGAAGTTTAGGGTAAAATAATTGTGAATGTGCAGTTTATCTTTGACTAAAAGCTATGAATGTCCTTAGCTCTATTGATAACCCTGCTCTTGCTTCAAGCAGGAGATATCAGTAGTGTTTAAAAAACATCTGGTTTGGCCTTGACTAGAGGTTTGGGATGTCAGAATGGCCTGGGTTTTTAATATCTTTCCCCTTAAATGAACACCTTTCCCAGAATCCACATGGGAGGGTGTGGCAGAAAACTGACAGACACTGGACAGTTGAACAGGGAACTAGATTGACTGGCTCATCTCGCCTGGCCCCCATCACGTAAACTTTTAATGACTCCATGGTAGTAGTGACCTTCAGTAGTAACCCAGTCTCTGTGGAATCTCTCCTGTCATCTTTATTAAGCTCTCAACAATAGAATGCTTCCTAAAAACTCACTTTCTATGAACTCCCTTCTTCAAATTTGAAAGGCAAGGACCTGGACACTACTGATTCACTCCAAATTTTGTGTGAAGATGAATGTCTGGCACCCTAACTCCTGAGTTTTTTTAAAAAGCCCACCCAAGAGCTGAGAAAGGCTCTGTGGCTCTCAAGGACACCCCCAAATTTTCATGTATTAAAGACACCAGAGAAGAGCAGAGTATAATTCAAGCCATCTTGTGCTTTTGTATAGCTGCAAGGGGAGGATGGAGAATACAAGGCCATGGCTGTCATGGCTCCCTGTTCTCTGGAAAAAGACTGTTAGGGCTATGTGACCTGATGTCTACAACACAGTACTAAGTGTGAGTTCTGTGACTTGGGGATTTTGCCTCTATTCTGTTTTTCCAGATTAACAAAGATCTTTGACTGATATTGTTCATAAATCTTATCAACCAGGCTGGATGACACGGGACATGGCATCTTTTGAGTGAAGAAAAAATCCTCATCAGTCACTGTGCTCAGAGCAGCAGTGGTGGGGCTAGCGGTGACCAAGCTTTGGCTTCTCACAATGGTACCCATGCTACCCTGTGACGTCAGCACTCCTCTAGCTGCCTACCTTTGTGCTTATCTGACCCACTGCTTTTTTCCCCCATGATGCTGATATTTATCTATAGTCTAGAAGAGAGTTTGACTTAGTAACTAGGCTGAGATCCATTGGAAACTTTGAATAGAAACATTTAAAAATTTATTTTGTGTGGGGATTTTTGGAATGTGCAGTGTGCCTGGGAAAAAACGATTTACTGTGTACATAAATCAGAGCTTCAGACTGAGTTTTGGTACTGATTCTTATATTATCTCCGTGAAATCTGTTCTATTTCTATTCTCTCCATAATGACAGCTCTAAAAACAGCAAGGCCATTTTCTACCACATAATTATTGTTTCAACGCCTTTCTGAAGACCATGAAATGCTTAATTGTTCATTTACTTGTAGGGAGCACTCAACAAACACCAGTGATCTTGAGTAATTCTCTTCAAAGGGGTTGCCTTTTGATTTCATTATTATTACTTTTTTTTGAGACAGGGACTTACACCAAGGACTTCAGGCTAGTGGGGATTCATTATTTAGCCCAGATTGGCCTCTGACTCTGAATCCTCCTGCCTCAGCTTCTTGGGTGCTGGGGTGATGGCCTAGCTTCTAAGGGTTGCTTTTTAATGCAGCGATTGTGAATCTCATTTCTTCCCTATGTTTTTAATTAGTTCTATCTTCCCATGTTGGTAGAGGATGAACAGCATCCTATGAGGCAGAGAAGTGCATGGCATGGGACACTTGAGAGAAGAACCAACAGTTGTAAATGCCAGTCTCAAGAACCCCATGACTGTTCCTTCCTGTTGACATCCATAGCTCGGCCTACTTCAACTCATGGACTTGGGCTGTGTCCTTGGCTTTCCACTAAGCTGTGATGAGGATAGAGCACCATGTTCTATTGGTTATCTCTCATCAAGGCCCATGGCTTATGGTTCAGTGCATCAGAGAAGCCTATGTTGGGGCCACTAGGTCACAGGAGAAGACAGTGAGTGTAACAAGTCTTTTTCTGTCTCACCAGCCAGCTCCTAGATAATGTCATGGAGACTTATTGATTATGAAAGCTCAGCCAATAGCTTAGGCTTATTCTTTACCAGCCCTTATAATTTAAATGAACTTGTTTGTATTAATCTATGTTCTGTCACATGGTATTACTGCTCTTTCATCTTGCACCTCCTGTTTCCACCCCATGCCTCCTTTCTCTCCCTGGAAATCCTATAATCCCCCCCCCCCACGTCTAGCTATTGGTTGTCCAGCTTTTTATTACACCAATCAAAGCAAATACATCTTCACACAGTGTACAAATATCCCACAACAAGCGAGTTTCCACTGCTTTTGTAGAAGAGCACTCAACATGTTCTCTGGAAATACCTTACTCATTGTTAATACTTCTTTGAAGACCTCAACAACAGACTCGGAGAAATGAACAAGCCCAAGGTCTCTCCAAGGTAAGCAATGGAAAGAAACTTGAAATAGTTTATTCGTCTTATAGACTTCAGCATGAAGTATTTCTTCCTGAAGTGCAAACCACAGTGCAGAATGTACTGCATTCTTCAGTTCACCATTTGGCAGTGTGTGGGATGTGGGTCCTGGCTCACATTAGCACTGATCAAGGAAGCCTGTTGTGAGCACCCTGACCCCTATCTTCTGGGGTCTTTTTCCTTCTTGCCATATCCCCTACTTGACTTTTGGCTCCTGACATCATTTAAATATGTTGTTTCTTCTTAGTGTTATATTTTAAATCCATTTGACATGACCACAGCAGTTTGAATCTTAGGCTATCTGAAATACCTCGTTTTTTTTGACACTGGGATGTTTTACAGCTTCTTTCCTCAGCCTTCACCTGGAGTGTGGCAAACATTTACTGCTCACTGTGTTTTATGTGTTTCTCTGGGCCATGTATATTCATTGTCTTATATAAATAATGATCATGCAGTAAGCTAGTGGGCAGTGGTGTTTGGTCTAGGTGGTAAATCTTCAAAGGGTGGATATGGCTTTCCCTAAGAGCTGAAGGAAACTTTGACACTGAATCCTCCAAGCTGAAGTCAATGAGGGGATTTACACTAACCACTGACTGGCTTTGTAGTGATGAATCACATTTATGGATTTGCTGAGCAGCAGTGGCTGAGGCTGGGCTCTGCAATACATAACCACTGCACATGCCACCCAGACTTCACTCCAACCTCTTGAATATTGGCATTAACACCCAAGTACTGCCCAGATGTCAGTACTTACATTCCTGTCTGCCAAACCTTACTGAAAGTTATTCCTTATTGTTTTAATTTATAGATTTCATCCTGAGAAAGAGGCAACGTTATTTTTGAAAGAAATGCTTTAGAATGCTATTCTGAATACCATTATGTGGTACATGATAATCGAGTAAAGGTGTATGCCAGCTCCCTTCTAGGAAAAAATCTTAAGCACACCTGTAGGTTTTCTGCTAGGTAGGTGAAAAAGGGTGTTCTGTTTACCTGCTGTTGACCTGATGGTTGAGGTCATGTTGGAGGGTGTCATCACGGGAATACATTCATCGTCTTGGGAGTAACCAGCTTGGATGGCTCGAAGGTAACTGTGACTCCTTGTCCGGAAACATCCAGGAAGGTCAAGGGCATCCATGGCCTGAGATTCAACTTCACTGAAGACAGATTCACACACTGACTCGAACTTCCCATTGACCTCTGCTTCACTCATCTAGAAGAGCAACAGCACACATGATACCAGGATCCAGCAGGGTGATTGCAACCACGTCACATGAGAACCAAGGACAGAATGCACTCACGGGACTCAGTGACAGCTCTTTATATTTTCAGCGCAGCTAGTTTGAAATCCACACTGGGAATCCATTAAGCTTGGGGGATGGCTTCTTAGGTTACTTCTTACCAAACCAGAAGGTGAATAACTAGCTACACATGATACAAGTTCTGTGGACTCACCAGGCTGACAGCCATCACAAAGACTAGGAGATAGGGTGGGCAAAAGCCTCGCGAAACATCTGGTACACAGCCAGGGTCCACACTGTCAGGCCATCCTCCTTCCCCAATGACCCTCCGTCTTCCCCAGCTACCTACCGCTTGGGCTGACTCTGGGTTGGAGGCTGTAGAAGTAAGCATACACGTTCAAGCTCATCAGCTACTTTTAGTTCATTTTCAGGGCGTGAGAGTCAGCTGCTGCTCATTGTCATGGAAACGAATCCCAAATTTGGCAGAGGCACTCCTGTCCTCATCACTATTACAGCATCATGAACAGAGTCAGGGTAGAGAAGACATGGCTGCCTATGGGATCTATACACATGCAACATGCGTGTTTCCCCTCTATCAGCTCAAGACTTGCAAGTATAGCAGATAAAGGGTAATAAGTTTGCAGCTTGTGCCTAAGTTGTTCATATCAGTTCATCTTGGGAACTGAACTTTCCTGAATACTCTTGAGGAAGCACTGAGTTGGGCCTGATGAGATCAGAGGCTGATCTGACATGGGCTGGACCATCAGTTCAGCCACAGGGACTCTTCTCAGGATGGATGGCTCAAGGGGACATGTTTTTCCTGATGTGTCCTGATGGTGATGCTCTTATACACACGACATATATTCTTCATGGGTGAAACCAAAGATTTTTAAACTGGAAATTCAGTTAAGGGAGCTACAGTACTGAAACCAGGTTGAAGGGTTAGTGGGAGAAGCATGGAGGATTTAAACATAATAAACTTAAATGGGGTTAGTGAACTCTATGCCCAGTTAGTCTATGCCCAGTGCTGGAGACAAGAGGCCAAGAGCTCAGTTCATGCTCATCCTGGGGAGTTCTCTCCACTCACTGACTCTATTTTGGTAAATGACTTCTGAGATGGTAGACAGAATCTGAAGTCCCCTGGAAAATGGGCTCCTGAGCAGGTTCATGGGGGACTCTCTTGACTGTCACAACTGAGATCGGAAGACCCACCCACCATGGGTGGCACTGTTCCCAGATTTGGATCCTGGACTGCATAAATGGAGAAAGATGCTAGCCGCCGCAAGCGTCCATTGTTCTCCTTCCCTGCTTGTGGATGTCATGTGACCAGCTGTTTAAAGCCCCAGGTGCCTTGACTCCTCTACAGTGATGGGCTGCACCAGAACACTCTTTCCCCTTCAAGTTGCTGTCAGTGTCTGCCATCACAGTGACAGGAAAGGAAACTAAGATGCAACCACTCTTCAAGTTCTCATACACTACGGATCTCTGTCTCTCAGGTATGTCTTTCTATTTTGTCAAGTATGTACAGATGGGACATTGGTCAGTGGCGTGATGGGGATCTCTGGGAATGCAGCCAGCTAGAGTTTGGGACACAGAACAGCACCGATGCTTGCTATCTGTCCCACCTCTCTAGTTCCTCTTTTTGTCCCATCTCTCACACCATAAGCTTAGTGATGACCTATTATCTGAGATCTGGTGTTTGTCCTCAGTGCCTGATGTACATAGACAGACCATTTGTCTATCCTGAGTATTAGACTGCCATTCTCCACCATGGCCCTCTCCTTTTCCACCACATCTTTCTAGCTGCCCGTGACAAGAGTCTGTCTGAAGTACTGAGAGTCATGTCACCATCTACAGCTATGGTGATCAAGCTTAGAGAAGGTTCTTAAGTGGGGCTTTCCATGATCCAGATACTCCCCACACCTCTACTATACAGACTTCCTAGTCTACTCTTTAATTTAGGCCACAGGCTAAGGTCATGAGAATATCTTCTCTTGTTTCTCCTCTCTGCTTAGTTCAGGGTTTGAACAAGTTTCCCCTTTCCATCGTGACCATCTAGACTTCAAATTCCTCACTAGACAATTGTAGAATTTGCTGGCGCATCACTTCAACAGCTCCAAGTTCACTGTGTTAGGATTCCCATCTTTCCCCACACAAATGGGACCTCTTGGCTCCCAAGGCTAGGAAACTCTGGCTCCTCTCTGTCCAAACCAGATTTCTTCCTGTCTTCTCCATCCCTTCCCTGTCTCCCACTATCATTCCCTCCACAAACACACACAGCTGAGAACTGAGATCTCCCCTTTCTCATTCTTTCTGGTCCACTGCAACTTCTCAGTACCTTGATCATGCTGGCAGATAGATCAAAGGAAGGTATTACTTTAAAAGTCTGTCTGGGAAGCTGGTGATTAATGAAACCAGCTAAAAGATAGATGGAATGGACCATGATGGTGTGTGATATCAGTTAGACACAGACACCTCAGAGGAGACAAGCTACAGCATGACATCATGAAAGCTTTAGTCAATGCCCAGCAAGTCAATGCCCAGAACACATGGCTACAACATGGATAAATCTAGAGGGACAATGTGCTTAGTGAAATAAGCTCATCCCAGAAGGATCCCTGGGCAGTTATACTAATACCAGGTATTCAAAATAATAAAAATAAAAGTAGAATAGGGGTGGCCATGGGCTAGGGAAAGGAGATAGGGTTTCAGTTTGGGATGATGAGAGCATCCTGGGGCTGAATGATGATGATGGTCTGTGTGACTGTGTGCAGGAACATGGTTGAAATAAGACTTCAAATTATGTGGCTCTATTATGAAGCAGCATTCCCTCCTGGAGGGCATAGGGGAAGCTCTTGAGACTCAAGCAACAAACAACTAACAAGTCTCAGCAAGTTCCTGAAGCTTAAAAGATTTACAAGACTACTCAGCAAGGTTATATTAGCTGTAAGACTTCTGAGGAGAAGAGACTTTTCAATCTATACAGCTGACTCCAAATTGTACAAGGATCTCCAGAGAGGCAGTTACCATGCTGGGGTAAATATTTTAGGGATGGAGATGTCTTTTAGCTATCCATGTTCTGGAAAGTAACTCAGATGAACTCATTTGTTCTCCAAATTGGACTCTGAATGAATTGAAGGGGGGTACCCTTGAGTGTGGAAGACACTTTCTCATCTTAGGTAGGTATAACCCAGTAAGTGGTTCTAGGTCCTTAACTCATAAATCTGACAAATTTCATGGAGGGCTGGATGAGACTGAAAGAAGGTATTTTTTTTTATTACTATAGAACTTTTAAAGGAGACAGATTAAATATTCATGATCCTTCTGCCTCTGGTCCTGAGTGCTGGAGTTACAAGCATTGCACCATGCCCATCTTCATAGCACTTCAAAAATTTTTATTTGGAGGGCCTGGAGAGATGGCTCAATGCTTAAGAGTGTTGACTGCTCTTCCAGAAGAACCATGTTCAATTACCAGCACCCACATGACAGCTCACAACTGTCTGTAATTCCAGGATCCAACACCCTTACACAGATGTACTTGGAAAACGAACTGAATTAACTGAAAGGGACCATGTCAGTTTTAAAGAATGGATGTCTACCTCATTATCCAGGGGTGGTAGCTCTTATAGTGTGCACTGACTTCGCCTGAGGTGTGGGTATCTTCCAACATTGTTTGATTCTTCTGTGTGGAAATGGGGAGTTTTGTTGGTGAATCAGTCTGCCACAGTAGCCTAATTCTTAGGACCTGGTGTGCTCTAGTAACATTTAGGGGTGGCAGGAAGGTGATATTGCGGCCCCCTTCCAGGTGGCCCGTGACTGTGGACACATCAAGCATGGGATTTTAAGAGTTAAGCCCCAATAGTCCTGAGTTGTACAGTAGGGGTAGTTCTTCCCATGTTGCTTTCTAAAAGGTCCTTCCCATGGAAACTTGACCTAGTTTCTAAGGGGACATTATCACTAAGGTGTTAAAAACCTCAAATTAAGAACAAGGACAAGACCCTCCCCATACCCACACAGCTGTTAGAGAAAAAACACTTGAGTGCAGCTTTCTGAAGAGAAGGAGTTGTAGGAAAAGATTCATTACTATCTAGTCAGCACTGTCTAATCATTGTCATAGCAACAACAAACATTGCTGTTATTGAGTGCTTGCTGTATGTATATAGGACTCTGTCCTAAACAGCACCAAAGTCTACTGACTTCTTTGTTATGCAAATTGCAAAGAAGAGGGATACTAAGCCCAGGCTCTTCCTTGGCAAGAAAATCATAGGTAAAGCTAATGGTAAGCATAAACTACATAATTTTTAAACTACTATTTTTTAGATGAGGTCTTGCTGGTGGTCTGGAATCCCTGATCCTCCTGCCCCAGCTTCTTGTGCACTAGAATCATTGGCATCTAAGTTCTCTTTCTAATAGAAATTCCCACTAGTAAGCAGGGGTTCAATTAATGCTTGGAAATTCAGTCATTGGCTGCACATCAAAGGACACAGGCCCCAGCACTCCCTGCTAGCTGTTAGTGTATACTGTTTGGTCCATTTACCAAAGTGTGAAACCTAGTGCTTCTCCCAGTGCTGAGTCCAATGCCTATCACTCTGTGGGGGCCCCGGATACTGCTTTGGGACTAGGTATCTAGTGACAAATTAAGACCTGTCCCAGGAGCAAGCGGTGCCCATTCTTCTCTCTGCAGTGCCAGACTATCAGAAAACTAAGCCTTTGCCTGTGCCAGGCAGATGCCCTCTGTGTTGTCCCAACTGCAACCTATGATACCCATTAGGCCTGAGTGGCTCTATTAGGAAGATGTAGCATAAGCTAAGGAGGCCATTTTATTTTATTTTATTTTATTTTTGTTTAAGAGTAAGAAATCCCATACTAATCAAGAGAAACTGTTGCATGTTCCTTGCAGGAGAGTGCTGTCCATGGGTGTCTGGGCACTGTCTGCCCCATGGGAGCCTCTCACTCCAGTACAGCTCCAGAGACTGCACCTTACATAGAAAAGCACAGAAAAGGTCCCACCTGGCTCACACAGCTGGCCTGGCTCAGGGTGCTCACGGCCCGCATGTAGCTCTGGTTTCTGGACCGGAACTTCGGGGAGTTGTAGTTGACTGATGGGTCCAGGCTGTGACCAACAGGCACCTCACTGGCAGCTTGCAGATAGCTCTGGCTACAAAGACAGAGAAAAGAAAAATGTGGTCTGTGAGCATCTGGGGATGGGTGGGAGGAGATGGCTGTCAGTAGAAATTTCCAGCTGAACATCTTTGAAGAGATGACTTTTCATCTATAAATGTGAATTCCATCAGAAGTTACAGGGCAGGTAATTTAGCAAACTGTTTTGAGACTTTTTATTTTATTTTATTTTTTATGGCTTAGGCAGTGAAGTTAAGATCATCATCCATTAAAGAGGAAACAAAACAACAACAGAACAAAAAAATGGAAGCCCTCAGAGCTCATACAGCAGAATAGCCAACTCAGTGTCTAGATTCAAGCCACACCCCTCCAGAGCCTCATAAAAAATCTTGCCAGTGTACTGGCAACTTTACATACTTGAAAAAAAATAAAGTCACCTCTTTAATTTTTATCTAAAGGTGTGTTTATTTTTGTTTCTGTGTATGCATGTGTACCTGCATGGGAATATGAGCACATGGGTGAAGTTGCTCACAGAGGTCAGAAAAGAGTTTCTATTGAATTCCCCGGAGCTGTAGTTTCAGGTGATAGTTCTGGGAACTGAACTCTGCAAGAGCAATATTGCTCTTGACTGCCAAGCCATCTCTCCAGCTCCTTACTTAGTCCTAAAGGGAGCAGATTATACAATGCTAGCACAGAGATACCACAGGGAGTTTGGGCCAATGTGTTCTCACGATGCCATCTTCTAAGCATCTCTAAAAGCAACATTTTCCAGTTTTCCAACTTGCTGTTTTGTGAAACATTAAAGCCTGGGAAAATGCCGAGGATAATCAGCAGCTAGGTCAGCTTAGCTTAAGTTTCTGAGAAATTTGGTACCTTTCCTTTCAGATTCTACTTTCAAATTTTCCACTGTGCCATAAAAATTCATGGAGTAGTGTGGGAAGGCATTATCAATCATTTGCCCCCAGATTTTGAGCATGAGGGTGTGTTGGATTTGTTGGTGCAGCTCATGTGTAGAAATAATCATAAATACTAAACAGACTCTGACCCCATGCCTGGGCAATAGAGAAAATACTTTCTTTTTACATTAACTCTTTCTATAACTTGTTTTATTATTTATCTCTTTGTAAGTGGGGCACCAGGAGCTAGTGAGAAGGTGAACCTGAGTTTGATCCCCAGGCCACGTGGCTAGAAGGAGAGAAACTGTTCCTCCAGTTGTCCTCTGATCTTCACATGTACCATGTGTTCTTTCCCACAAATAGATACACTCTGAAAATGGGACATCAGTGAAAACAGGACTTTATGAAATCAACGTGGGAATGTTTACTAATTATAGTCAAAGTCATTCTTTTAAAAGTAATTTTCACTTTCAAGGAAGGTACATTACATACCCCAGAGTTCCAATGTCCAGCTTCTTCATGCCTCTTTCTTCCCATGTTTCTTTGGAATCTCTCATTTCTTACATGTATCTCTACCAAATGCTTCTGGTGTCCTTCCCATTAGATTTCCCTACTGGTTAACACCACTGTCTATACCATCTCCATCCAACCTTTCTCAAGCTGTTTGAGTCTGACAAACAGAAGCAGATTCGTGTCCTCTGGACCTTGGTACCCACTGTTGCTAGCCACTTTCAGGCACCCCAAATACCTATCAGTCTCACATCACAGCCAGCCCCTGATGGTGGCCTACACTAGTACCTAAGAATACACATACAGTTCAGTATTCAGGATGCCACAATTCTGTGTTTCAAATGGAAATTCTTTTCCCAAAGTTGAGCACCTAAAGAAAAGTAGCCACAGCAAAACACATAAAAAACTCACAACAGTTACCATTTGCTACTGACTATCATAGCTGAATCCCCACAGGCATCTAATTAAGCTGTTAATGTAGGCCTAGAGATCACATTGCAGAGGACGGTCTGTGTTTATGGAGAGTAAATGGCAAAACTAGACTCTGAGTTTGTTCAGGCTGGATGCAAAAGTTCACCTTTGAACTCCAAGGTCAAAGCTGCTGAATAAGAGCCATGGTGCCAGGGTACCATCCTGTCACCACATCTAGTTCTCCCTCATCATTGGTCCCAGGAGCCCAGGATACCAAAACCCAAGGATACTCATACCCATTTCCTTCTGCCCTCTCTCATCATGTCCAGTGCCTGACACCCTGTGAGTGGCCTGGCATCTGCATATAACTTACATCTTTCTATACACTTTAATAATCATCAGATGCCTAACATGCCTAGCACAGTGTAAATGCTAGGTAGCTGTTAGGCAACACTTAGTGACTGGAGGAAAGTATGTGTTCTGTATAGAGGTAGTGACACAAGGGATCCTCATTTCAATTTTTGCTTGATTTGTCTGGAATTTTTTTTAAATTTTCCTACCTGTAGTTGGTTGAATTGGAACCTAGATATAGAATGCTGATTACACACACATTTGCTATTTTTTCGTTTTTTTCCCCCAAGACAGGGTTTCTCTGTTGTTAATAATGCTGGCTCCCCTGGGACTCACTTTGTAGACTACACTAGCCTCGAACTTATGGAGATCCACTGGTTCTGCCTCCTGAGTGCTGGGATTAAACGAGTGTATCACAACTTCCAGGCTGATTAACAGTGATAATCTCCCCTATAATCTCACAAGGATTAACAGTGATTTTGAAAGTATTATAATGGTTTACCTTTGTGTAATATTGTGCCTCAGATGCTACATTCTGGGAGCTAAGAGGCTGGAGGGTGACTATAAGTTAGGGGTCAGCCTGGCAAGAGACTATTTTATAAAACTAAAACTAACAAAACCCAAACAAATAAACAGACAAAACCACAACCCTGGGGACCACACACCAAGAGCTGATGGTGGGAGGCACAGCAAAGACTGAGGGAAGGCTGGTCCTGGCGGTGGCAAATCTCATGCTATCCCTGGTAAGGCCTTGCCATTGCTCATCCCTGAGAGACTGTCCTGGAACCCTCTAACATTGTGAAGTTGGCTTATCAAAGTGGTAATTTCTACTTTGTCATCTCAGTTGACAGAGTTTTGAAAAACAACTTCCTACATAGATGGGTGGTAGCTCTGGAAATCACAGAAGGATACCATTTTTTGGAATAATGTGTGATATTTTTGTTCTAGTTTTTGCCTTTCAAATGTTGCCCACATTAGATCATCATCTTTGCGTAAGTGAGACAGGAACCCCATTTTGGAAAACTTGAAGTTATCATCTGAAGGAAAATAATGGGCTTTCTAGCATTTCATTTTCTTTTCCCGATTAGCAGATCATTCCAGGATCACACACCTCAACTGTACCTTTAGATCTTTATAAAAACGAGTTTACAGAACAAAATATTTGCCCATGTAGACCTTTGAATATGGTTATTTAGACCCATGTAAATATACTTGGAATAAAGAGAAGAAAACATCATCTTTGCATCACCTTAGAAAGCAATCAGGGGTTATATACTAAGAGGAAATATAAGAAAACAAGCTCTTTGTGCTCAAAGTATTCATTCCAGACGGAGAGAACACCTTTCCACATTTATAAATGGAACAGGACAGGAATAGTACCCACTTACAAACCAGCTGCGCTTCCTCCACCACCTTAAATGGAACATGGTAAATGACATTAAGTGTGAGTGTGCTTCCTCCCAGAAAGTGGAGATTCCTCTGCCTCTTAGAGAAAGCCTAGTCAGTCCCTGTCCCCAGGCCATGAAGTCTTTCTGTCACCCAGGTACATGCAGCGCAGGTGATTCCCATTCCTGGCTCAGGGTCCCCGTGAGGACAACCTGCCTGCTGCCACTCCACAGGTGACCTCAGGTGGACTCTCCCACCATGGGGCTCAGGAATTATCCCACTGCTGTGTCACCCTCATGGAGCTTGTGTGTAGAGTTCACAGATGGGTGTTCTTTGAGAATTGGGGCTGTGCACAGGGGATGGGTTCAGCCTGGGAATCTTGAGTACAGACATGTTGGCCATGGTGCACATGTGTGTACCTTCCCAACATGGAGAACTCAGGGACTCAGGCCATCTGCTCCATACCCACTGCTGTGACATCTTCAACAAAGCTTGCAATAATAGTGTCCTGGGCCTGGCTGGGGTCTCCAGCTCTGACCATGATCACTGTGACAGAAGCCTCTGTGCAGTGCCAGTAGTGGCTATGGGGTACAAATCCTCTGTGGAAGCCTCAGAGGTAGAGCTTGGACCCGAGGTTCCTTTTACCTGTAAAGTGTCAGCCACATAGCAACAGACAGCCTTGCAAGGGATGAGAACCAGTCTTCCTATGCTTTTAGCCTTACCATCCTGGGGGGTGGTGGCACATGCTTTTAATACCATTCACCCCACTGATGACCTTAACCCTCAGCCTGATGCTAAGCTTAAGCCTCCATCTAACTGTAAACAAATAAAACCTTAACCTATCCTGAACTCTAACCCCATATCTCTTTGCTATACCTCTGGTGCCTCATTGCTTCATCTGGTTGTCTTGTCTTGTGTGTGGCATGCTGTCACCTGCCCCCATCTCCTGTACATTCTGTTGTAGTCTGCAGAGTCATCTTCCCCACACAGGGAAATTCTGTAGCCTGAGCCATGTGTCAGGCACAGTGCAAGGTGCTACAAACAGAGCTGAAAACATAGAGCCACCAGATAACACACAGGACCCCTGATATATTTGGATTTCAGATGTGAGATGGATCATTTTAAAGTCTAGATGTTATCCCAAATGTTGCTTCAAATATGCCCCACTTGGAACATATGAATAAGACAAAAATTCATCCTTTTTCTGAAATTTGAAATCACTTGGGCATCTGGTGACTCTGTGAACCTGGAAGAGCTAGGATGGAAGATCTCTCTTTTTGGGGAGTTGACAATGTGTGGGGACTCAGATGGGAGCAATAGTTGATGGAAATCTAGTGTACGCTGGCCCAGAGCAGGATGGGTATTAGGAGACTAGAGGTCAGAGGTGCAAGAAGAGCATTATGAGAGAGAAGACTGAATATAGGTAGGTGAGGACTGTGATACCCTAAGGGGCTTAAAATTTGTGCAAAGTAAGATAAATGAA